ACATTCATTTCAAGCATAATACATCGCACTGGGACTCTTAATAAAACTCTACATTCAGTGATAACAAATGTACCGATGCACCTATTTGGAAATTTCCACTGTCAAAAGCCCTGCCTTCCCCACATTCACTCTTACATAAATAAGTGTCATTAATCTATACTTGCTGCTTTTTGTAATTTGCACACTTATATGTTATGTCCTGACATTTATGCAGTGGAAATCCTTGACATTAGAGTCAGGCACGTCTTATATGATAAAAGCACGAGTCCTGGTTTCTTGGCAGCCTTACGGCGTCTTACTGCGTCCAGTCACTTATTTATAAACACTGCCCTGCTGGGGAAGACTTATCCAGTATAACCTCCAGAAAGATCAACAGCGGAAACTGGGCGATGTACGCACGGCAAAATTTGTAAAGCACGGGGGTTTAGCAAGATGGTCAGAAGATTTTTCCTGACATTTTCATGTTGATGTAGTTGATACCTATTGCCTTGTTTGTGGATGTATGATAGAACTCAGTTACGTACTGTGGTGCTCACTGAAAATGGCTATTGAATAATTACATGTATTATTGATTGCACGGAATAAAATTTGGTTAAATCCATATTCACAATTGACAAAGAAATTAGAAATTTCCAGCAATGTTTTTGAGATAAACAATCAGGGCTTGCATGCAGTCCCCTTGCTGTATTTTGCAGTGTAGGTAAAATTTGAAATTACTAAATCTACCATACAATGTAGCTCGTGACATACATGTGTCTTCTAGAGTGACTGAACTTCAAAATAAAAGAGAGATATCACAGTCACAACAAATGCCTAGAAAACTGAGTATGAAATATTGGGCATTTTCCTTTGCTGTACATTTTACGACCCTGCCATGGCCCAAGCGTGTACGTCTGGGGTTCTGCACACTTTACGATGCTACAGGGAATCCCTCCTCTCCATCAAGTAAACATCATCTCAGCTTTCTCTCTGGGCCTGGGGAAATTAATCTTGTGTTTCTGTTTCCAGTTCTGAAAAAAACAGGGTCGGTACTGGATTTTCTTCTTCTTTTTTTTTTGGCTCCAAAATGGATCCAAGAAATAAAGTTTAACAATGCATTAGGACTGCCCCAAGGACCCGTCCACCTGTTTGCTTGTGGACAAATATTTCACCCGATTTACTGAAGAAAAGATTGTTTCTAAAAATGCGTTAGATGACATGCAGAAGTTCAGAAGGTTTGAAATTCAGATGTTGGATGGAAAATTTTATACCTTGACCAGCAGTCGATCAAAATAACGCTAGGGTTGGCGTTTTTTTGCTAGGGTTTGTCGGGAAACAGGAAACACAAAATTGTTTCCTAGGCCCTAGAATCAGTCTTGTTGTGTGTACGCAGATACTAGTCCACGCAGGGTCCGGCTTATGTCGCCGTTGCTGGAGTACTTAGCGATATTGACTCTCTTACGGCTGATCCTCGGTACATTAGTTACGACCCGTAATGTTCCCGGGTGCCGTGATTGGGCATGAATCATCCCGAGTGTCGCGCACGTTTGCAGCCCGAGACTTAAGCCCTGACGGATGAGCGCCGCGTGTTAATGTCATTTCAGCCCATCAATGTGATGATGTCATGAGCTTCTCGCTGCAGCTTGATGGCTTAGGTCTAACATCAAATTGTTTTTCAGGCAAACAAATCAACTTCCTTCAAACCACTTCTTTTTATCTTTGCTCACAGGCTTCTGTAGTTGAGGCATCTCAGTTCAATTGCATCTCAATGCAATTTCAGGATGACAATATGAAAATATTGTGAATGAGGCTTCTGTAGTTGAGGCATCCAATGCACTTTCTGGGCTGATCAATATGAAAAAACTGTGGATGAGGAAATTCTGTCGGATATTGACATTTACAGTCATTTCTTAGAACAAGTCATTTGAAATAGCCCAATAACACTTACATGAGGAATCCCTTTATTTTTTGGTACCACCAAGTGTAAGTGTAACTACAATATGAAACGAGCAACCATTTTCTGTCAGTGACATCGCATTTCTGCCTCTTACTCAGTGTACATTAAAAAAAAGACCAGGAAATTAACTTTCAAAATCAAATTTTACTGCCCTGAAATCGCCCTTGGTGCCTTTAATATAACCTACATGTACATGTACCTCCCATTTATACCTATGTCTGGGGGCCGTGTTAGAGGTGGTTGGAGACTTTAAGTTTTTAAGTGCAAAGTTTGGAGAATAACCTGAAGTCACGACTACTTTGAAAGTCACTTTGTGAATCTGAGATATTGCAGTGAGAGCATGTGGGCTGTTGAAATTCCATGGACATTTAATTTCCGCCCCAAAACAAGCTATTTTATGGCATATGCTTGGAAATAATGCGGTCATCATATACAGAGGTTAGGCCACACCAATTTAATTTCTTGGTTAACGGATTCGCCCGCTTCATTTTTTCTGATTTGCAAATAAAGATAAAAATTCAGAATCAACAGCAAAATGCTCATATTTTGCCCTGAACAGTTGAAAACAGTCCTTTTCTTCCTAGTTGTTAGAGTTATTCCATCTTTCAATGAAGAAGTATCATTAAAAGTTCAAAATTCATTGTTTACATTTTGAACCAGCCTGGTGTGTTGACTTCATGGCTCCTATCGTACCATTTTTGCCCATAATAGGATGCCTCGGCCTGTTTTTATTTTATTTTTTTTTCGCCCGCCCGCTCCATTATATTTCTAGAAAAATCCGTTAACCAAGAAGTTAAATTGGTGTGGCCTTAGGCCATGTGCGGTCCCAAATAGTGATGGTCGCATAAAACAAATGGTCAGTTTAACCTCCTTGGTTTAGATAAGTCTCTTAATGCTTGCGTCTATTGTGAAAAAAAAATTTGGACAGAGAAAAAAGTAGTCGTTATGCCTTATGGCCAGATGGCTGGCTTAAAGAGGTGGTTGCTTCGGCAAGTTTGACTGAGAGTCTTTGACTGTATTTGTGAATGTTACCTGCACCAGCAAATGTTACCAGTGCCTAATGTTAAATTGTACTTTTGAGTATGCTTGAAGTAATGTGTTCAAGTAGGCTGACACTTGATCCCATTGGTACACCCTAATGGAACAGTTCAACTAGACATGGGGTTGGGGGCTCTTCTTGCATTTGTCTCAAGGAAACTGGGATTAAAGCAGTAAATTTCCGGGGAATTCCATCAAGAACATCTCCTGCCCACGAGGGAGTCAGGGCACGTCTACCTGAACCCTTGTCTGCTAGAGTTTTTACTTTATCCCCTAGCTACTGTAAAGGCTTCTGTGTGTAAGTAGGCTTTCAAGGTAGAGTCACCACTAATGACTCAGGAGATAGCTACAGGACTTTGGGATACTTAAGCTGAGTAGACAAAAAGCAACCTCAGGACTTGTACATAATTGTCTGAACACACGCATGTACATGTACGTGCCTTGGACTTAAAATGCATGACTTTTTGAAGTCTTCTTTCCAGAATGGTAAAACTTTGGGTTCAGAGAGAATATCACTGTATGCTCTTGTGTATGTTACTGCTAAGTAAATTACTACAAACAAATGACACTTTGCATCACAAAACACTGGGCTAGGAAAAAATGTTGTGTTTCGAGTTTCCCAGCTCTAGCTAAAACCTGCAGATCCCAGCCTTTTTTCAGTCATTTCACGCATTTTCAAAAGCAATTTTCTTCAGTAACTCGGGAGAAATATTTGTCCATTTTAGCAAATTTAAACGTGTCCTTAGGATAGCCCATATGCATTGTTAAAGTTTATTTGTTGTGTCATTTTAGCCAAACCCCCAAAAAATAAATAAACGCAACATTAATTTTCCTCGGCCACACAAAAGTATCGTTCAACCGTCCTTGAAGTGCCTGCGTCCGTACCCAGTGACACATGTCTGTCACGTTCTTTCAGCTCGACAAACACAGCGAGCGGACGCAGGCTGACGTCACAAGTCTTATTCAGCATCTCCAGGCATGCATGGCCAGGCCTATTCAACAGTCTTCAGCCTTACGTAGGTCCAGTACAATGGACATCCAACACAACACAACATAGCAGCTAGACAGGTCTACCTGCAGTCAACTTGGCTCTCAGTCTCAGAAAAAAACAACAGTATAAGAGCTTTCTTTTTTCAACATTTCAACATACAATGACAGTGCATACTGGGTGCATATGCACCTAAGTTAGTGCAGGTAAAATTGAGGCTGTGCAGAAACATGTGTTATTTTCTGACCTGCACCTAACCTGCACTTGCACCTAACCTGCACTAGTGCATCTAAACTGCACTAAGTCCATGCATGTACAGAGTTACATGTAGGTGTATGTTGATTTTTATTTTTATTTGCTGCATTGACTGTTACCACCTATAAAGCATAAAATTAAAGAAATAATGGCAATGATTTCTGAACAGTTTTTAGTATGATACCTCCTTCTCAAAGTTTGATCATGAGTGGTGTAGGTAAAATTTGTCTCAAGTGCAGGCAATTTTCAATGTAACATGCACCAGTGCAGGCACGTGCACACAGAAAAAAGAATTTCAAACACAGCACATGTAATATGACATTCATCTTACTGAACCAGAGAATGAAATTATTGTTCCAGTAGATGAATGTACTTTGTACAATTTCCATAAAAAATAGCCAGAGATCGCCTAAAATTCCAGAATATTGAAAAGAGGTACCTTGAATCATATTACCTTATCGGTAATATGATACAATTGTAGAAAGCTGTTGTTCGTGACTGTTGGCCACAATGACCTACAAATATAATACCCATCCATTCTGTATAAGGATTTCACAGCTTTGGATTGACAATGTTGATGGATCTTGGTTAAGTAAGTGATTGATCAAAGTAGATGACAGTGCACGCATGCAAGAACATGGTCTTCTTAATGTTGGCTTTTAACTTGACTTGTATGAAGTGACCTTCATCTTGTCTTGTACATTAGGCCACACAAATTTAATAAACTGGTCCTCAGATTTGACCGCTTCATTTTATTAAAATCCCAAAAAAATCCAGGTTCTCAATCAACTTGAAAATCTAATATTTTGCCCGCAACAGTTTAAGAAAGACCTTTTCAATGGTTTCATTAAAAATCTAACATTCACTGCCTTTTTTGTATGATTTGGTCTGAATATCATTAGGGTTCAAATTGGAATATATTTAAATATAAGTATCAAACATGTACCCCGAATTTCATAAATTTGGAGGGATTAGGATTTAAGAACACTGATAGAATAAAATACTGTTCCATGTACTATATATATAACCTTATCAAACAACAAAGATGACACTCTTCTAGTATAATGTATTGATCCAATATAAAGTCATCAGACAGTGCGTGGGGTTTCATACATGACATTATCAGACCAGACACTATATTGATTTTCCTGAATATGATAAATAGTACCCCTCAGGTCCCTGGTGAAAATTAATTGTATTTGTATTGTGGTTTACCACATTATTATGCCAAAGAACAATTTGATTGAGGTCAAATTGTACTGTTCGACTTCAGAAAATGATCCTCAATGTAATTTAGAGCAGACTTCATCATAGTCAAAATAGCAAGTACTACAATGATTGTTCTATCTATATTCTTGAAATAAGTTGTCTTCTACGAATATTCTATGTTTTAACTTAACTGTAAACAAATTATTATGTACCAAGTTTGGAAACACCCAAGAGAACAAATTATGATTGTTCTACAATGCACAAACAGGTGCCTGCACTTGCCTGAAATACCTGCACAGCTCCAATTTTACCTACACAAACCTGCAATGCATATACCCAGTACATGGACCAGTGCAGGTTAGGTGCAGGTGGACATCAGAAATACCTGCACAGCTCCAATTTTACCTGCACTAACCTACATATACCCAGTACATGGACCAGTGCAGGTTAGGTACAGGTAGACATCAGAAATACCTGCACGCCCCTAAATATCCCCAATTTTACCTGCACTAGTGAATATACCCAGTTTTTCTATTGAATTATTGTACTGCATTACAAACATCACATTTGATTCTTGGAAACGTCAGAACTCACTTCACTTCCCAGGGGTTTACAAGATAACATCAAAATCCTTTTACTGCCCTATGAATATTTAATACTGTTTTTATCCTGCACTCTTGACTTCTGAAAGAAATATATATAAAGCTATCAAGAACTTCTGTGTCTCACGGGACTGGGGAGATAGTTATATAATTAGCCCTGCCAATCAACTTACTAATGTTGGACAATAATTTTTTTTCAAACAAGGTCAAAGGGCAATAATAAAAAAACAACGATGAATAATGAAACAATAATAATAAGATTCTAATACCATTACTCTAATCAAAATAATTTCTTTTTCAACAATAATGATAAATAATGAAACCATAAAAATAATTGTAAAATAAGATTCTAGTATCATTATTCTACATGTAATTGAAATTCGTTTTCAACAATTGTAATAAAAACAAAAACAAATTATTTAGAGATGATAAAAATGAGGATAGAAATAAGGAACTTAAAGTATAATGTAGGAAATATAAATTATAAAGACTAAAAATTTGCTAACAATTATACATTTCCATAATTCATGAATTTTCCTTTTAATTCCTGAAGAAAGACTGCTGGAATCTTCCTTGTCTATTACTATTACGCTACAGAGGAAGAATTGTGTAAACTTTAATGTTAATATCATGGTTATATCATAATTTGATCAGCAACAGATTCTATTACATATACAGTAGCACATATAACACCCTATGATGGTGTTAGGATCGAGCTGACTTTGACTCCCAGTAAAGCCTTGCTTGTTGTCATGACGACAGGTTAGTTATAGATCCCGTAACCCCCAGCCTGGAAGTCTGTCCCTAATCCTCAGGAAAAGGTTACAGAAGGAGGGGCAAGGCTGGGAAAACGTGATTGGTTTTTTCTCGGGAACGGAAATCCGAGGATTGCCAATATACCAAACAAGCAAAGTCAGCTCAGGCTTAGAGAACAGAACTGTTCATAGAAATAAAAAGGAAAACATAGGGGTGACATTATGGTAGAGACTGACTTTAAGCTTACAAATCTTTCACTGGTCATACAGCCTCTATCATTCTAATGTTTCCTTTTTCTTTGGCAGTTCACTCTGTTTGTCTTAAAATTGATATTGCTGTAAAGCTAAGAAACTTCATTATCAGGAAAGTGCCCAACACAATATTTCTTTTTAATGTTTTGACCAATAGAAAAAAAACATGCCATGTCATCGTGGGCTTGTACCTTACCTTGTTCAAGGCTTTAGCTGATAATGACAGGGATCTACATTCTACACATGCCTTCTACACGTACACACTTTCTGTTACTAGGCACAAGTACATGTACATGTGGTTGGTATGTGACCCTGACGCCAGTGTATATGTATGTTAGTAAGAAGTAGAGCTAAATTGGGTCAAAAAGAAATTTTCGCCGTCCTGTGAGATTATTAGATATTTGATATTAGATGTCATGCTGTTTTGTGTAGACGATGTTTTTTGATTCGTCCTCTGCATTTTCTTCCGATTTGCAAAAAAAAAAAAATTCAGGTTCTGAATCAACTCCAGATGCTCTTATTTTCGCCCCAACAGTTAAAGAAAGAAGCTTCCCTTCAGAGTTGTGACATTAATTTTTCCATCTATCAATGCAGTAGCTTGATTCAAATCTTTGCAATTCATTGTTTTTTTCCCTGTTACTTCATATCTTTTCTGAAAAAAACCGAGAACCAATAAATCAAATTGGTGTGGCCTTAGGAATAAAACTAAAGAAACACCAACCTTTGGTGAGTGCATGTATGCCCATCTTGACCTGTGAGAAGTTCCCACTCCCGATCTCCGCCCGTAGTCTGTAGAACCCGATCCGTTTACCCAGCGTGATCTCCTTCTGGATTTTCTCGTCGTTGCTCAGGTCGTAGGTCACCCTCTCGTAGGGCGACAGTTTGCGCTCCTTGCGCGGGAAGTCCGGGGACGTGACGGCCAGGTCGCTCTCATGATTGGACGAGGAGATGTAGTGGTTCCCTCCCATCTTGAGGTGCTGCTTCTCGATAAGCACGGGACTGGGGTGGACCACGGCGGTTGTTTTGGACATGTCGCTCGACGCGCGGTCCGTCTCACACGCACGTCCATGCACGGGCCGCGGCCAACCTCACCGGATTCTCCGTCACGTCCGGTAAGAAATCAGCGGCCATCCTCCGCCGCTCCCGGGCCGGAGAAGCGACCGGCGGCGTAATACCTGTCACTCTGCCCTTCAGAACTCACCAATCACACAAACAGCCCGGAGCAGGGTGCTTTAACGTTTCCACGGGCGAGCGAGCGGGGAGTTAATAGCCAGGGGCCGTGCCCTGCCTCGCAGGGGAACTGATAGTCAGCCCGGGCTAATGGACTGTTATCATCCCTGAAAGCATGAAATCGCTTTGTTTGTCAAACAGCGACCTTTGACCCTGCTTATTCACCAGGTGTTCCTGTAATCTAGACGTGTCTTCTGGGGGCGGACATGACGAGACAGGTGTTCCACCCGCAGGGTTACGGCTGCAGCCGCGGGCACAGCTCCGGCAGGCTTCTCCTGGCGTCAGCTGCAGTCGTAGACTTACGTATTACTGTCTGCCTGTGTGGGGGAGGATGGAGAAATATGTAATAGCTATCCAAGTTACAAATACGAATTCATAATTCACTTTATGTTCATGGTAGCAAAATTTCACTAACTGACAAAATAGCTATCCAAGTTACAAATACACAACAATACTGTAATTCACTTTATGTTCACGGTAGCAAGATTTTACGGAACTTATGTTCACAGTGGCAGCAGGTGTAGGAAAAGTAATTTGTTAGTGGTAATGATAAGTTCACAGTACACAAGTGACCGGAAAAACAGTCAACATAAAAGTACTGTGAAAAAAATAAGGAATTACAACATTTATGAGAAATGTTTGTACACTAAAGGACAAATCTGCAGACTCATCAGACTTGTTATTCAAAATCTTCATGGGCTCTGCCTTTTTATGATATTTACTGTAGCCATTGGAATTGACAATGTTAAAGGACTTTCTTAGAAATATACTAAGTTTTTGGAAGCATGGAGGTTCAATCAAACTTTTCTGCTGGAAGATATACTAGTATCTTAGTATGCTTCTTCCAGACAGGTAATGAATTATTTAGCCAATGTAATAGATAACCAAGAAAACTTCATTGATATTTGTCACTTTTCATTTACTGTATGACAGCAAAATCTTGAGATTGCTGTTCCCAGACTACACAAATGACAATCATGTCAATTTTTTGCCACTAACTCACTGACATATTCTTGGCATGTCGCCTGGCAAGTATTTGACAAATAGGGCAAGAGAGTGCCAAATATTTCCATGAATTCCACACATATGCTGAGGGCAGCTCTGGACATCAACAATCTGGACAGCAGCTAGACTCAACAACAACATTGATGTACTTTGGTCCATTTTTTAAGATATTAATTATGCAACATTAGCTAGGATGATACAAAAAGTCATTATTAACATATTAGTAAGTTGAATTAACTCCATTGCAAATAAGTGCCATTCAGGAAGTATGCCGCCTTACGAGTGTGTTTAAAATTTTGAAACACAGCTGTCAGCCATGTTTGTTTACATTTTGGTATTTTGTGGTGGCACCACAAAATGAATGCACCTCATGTGGGCTATTGGCTGCCAAAAAAAGTTAGTACTCTTACATATTGTAATACCAGTACACTTCATGTTCGTGGTAGTAGAAGTTTGCTGCCGGAGAAAAATAGATATGTTCGCAGAACTATGTTTGCAGTGGCAATAGGTGCAGAAAAAAGAAAGTCAGCAAATTATTTGCTACAGAAGTACAGAAGTTAAATCTGCGTACCACGAAAATAATTGCCAATTACAGCCTTTGAAAATCAAATTTCTAGTACATGTCAGAATTTTCCAGTCACTATTGTATAATGTCCTTGGGTTGTGGACACATTGTCCCAGTAGCAGTACCAGTTCATTAGGAATAGGAGTCTAGAACTACTGAATACAGCGCCTGAGGCTTTACCTACATGTAGTACAATGCACTGCCTAGCTGAAGAGGCATGTTAATGGTAACAAAGCCAGCGTAAGTGACAGCTGTGACGTACGCACTCTCAAAACCCTGAATGGTCAACAGAACACGAGAAAACCAATTATACCTACATGTTACATGAGACAACATGCTGATGGCAAATGCAAGCTTTATTACATTTTCACTTCCAAAAGTATTACTACTGACATGCAGGGCTCAAAATACTGGGTGCATATATGTACCTTAGTGCAGGTACAATTGGGGTTGTGCAGGTACATGTACTAGTATTTCTGATGTCTACCTGAACCTTACCTGCACTGGCCCATGTAGTAGAGGCCTGGTGTCTTAGACACAAAATACATTTGTAACCTATATCAATTTATCACCTTTACAATTACATGTAAATCTGTGTCCAATGTTGTAATTAAGACATTATCAGAGACCTTCAGGGCATACATCAATCTTAGGCCTAGGAATACTACTAGTAATTAGTTTATAATTATGTTTTATTTCCGATTCACCTCACCAGTCCCATAGCTGTCATACGTCAGCCTAGGGGCAGTACAATTATGGTCCTACAATGTTTTAGCCAGTGTATGTGTCTGTGTCTGTACTTCCATCATATGACTGAATTCTGCTGCTCACAAAAATTTTGCCCAATCTGTCGTCTTTGACATACAAATATGAGCATGTAAAGATACTGACAGTATATGAAAAGAAATGTCATGATACTTTTTAAGCTGAGTCTACCAGCAAAAGTTTCCTTCAAAGTGCAGGAAATAGTGTTTCAGAGGGTCAGGACTTCAAAATTTCTCCCAGAGCTAGAGTTGTTGTAGGATTGCTGCCAGAACGACAGTTCTAAATGACAGTTTAGGCCCAAAAAAATTGATATGACTGCTAGCTAGAACACTGGGTCGGTAAATACATAGGCAGAAGGCAGAAATGTGTCAATTTAAAATGTATACTGCAGCTTATAAGAGTGTCAACTCAGACATCAAGCTAAACCCAATAGTCCACAGGAAGGCAATGGAACAAATGCTGATAGCTGCAAGGTGCTATCTCTGCATGACCCTTAATGGGACTACAGGATGAAGGGGGATTTGCACAATGTCAGCCATCACTTGTCTTCGGGAAGACTCAGCCCATATGGCTAGGGATGGTCAAGAGCACATCAGCAGAATGTACTGTACCTGCGCAAAACCCGTAATGTATTGTGCAGCACTTTGGCAGAATGTCTCATATAACTTAGGTCGTACTCATGCATATAACACTGTCTGAATTTCCAAATGTTATGTTGAAGAAATATTGCAATGGGCAAAATTCTGACACAACGTTGACCAACATCCAACGAAAACCGTGAAAAATGAGGGTTTTGCGCAAGCGCAGTATGAACGTATGTTCTGCCAACATGCTTGGTCAAGGTGTGTTCAAGGTGTTCAGGGAGGTGGGAAATCTAAGGTGTCAATGACACATACATACATAACCACATCTGTTCATTTACAACACACAAACACCTGGTATATAAGGGCTTGAAACACCAACATGCAACATGCAATTTGCATGTGATTTTCAACATCTGCATGACTTGTAAATATTAATAAAACATATTCTTCAAGTCTAAGTCTGAACCTGAACTATGCTTGCACAACAAGGGACTAATAAAAAAAGTCATACCTGACAGTCTGAGTGTGTATCTAGGTCAAGACTTTGACCCCAGTAGAACATATAAAAGTGCCCTGAGTTAATGATTAATCCATGACCAAGGTGTAGGCTGTTACAACAACACAATTGCAACTTCGTGACAAGGAAATGAACACTGAAAAAACATCCACACATACATACTGAACCATTTTGAAATCCAAAATAGATCTTGGTGAGACAGAAACAAACCACACTCATGTATATACATAATACTCTATATATGTCTGTGACCCATATAGAATGAAAACATATTCATAGGACTACCAGTCGGTAAGTCATACGGAATAAACAAGGTATATCCCATACTGAAATATCCTAAAAGTTACATGTTTGAATGGAAGAAATTACATGTAATCTTAAAGCAGATTTATCGATGGCATATTCACACTGGGCAAAAAAATGCAAGATTTGCTACTTGTGGCTTATGGATAAAGCTCTGGCCAAAGGATACTGTCTTGCCACTGTAGGATCTGTTTAAAGATAAGAGGAAATGGCAGAATTTCCTTTTCTCATTCTATGGGTACCGTGGCAAGTTAGTTTTAATTTAGTTTAAAATGTTTGTAGTCCTGCCACTTTGTGACCTGTACCCTATAAAATAATATAAATGTATAATACATGTAGGATTTATACTACACATTACAGAGGGTAGGGATAGCATCAGTCTGCTCTAGTGTGATAACAGGCTTCTCTCGACCCAGCCTACCTACGGTACATTAGTCAGGTACCTCATGTCTCATACATGCAGATAACCAATGGTCGGGGGAGGCCTGCATTTCCTGATAAAAGTCAGTCAGTATGGGATCCTTGCAAGAGTATAGGAGCAGGGTCTTATGACATGTGTGTAGCATAAAACGTGTATTACGAGGACTATATTCATCATACGTTTGTACACTAGTAAGTATTTGGAATATGTTGCACCTGACGCTGTCATATACATGGAAACTCTACTTACTATAATTCTTCAAGTCAAGATACAAAAGTACATGTATCATACATACAAAATACACAAGAAAACAGTTACTCAGGCAACTGGATAGATTTTGAAAACTGTTACCTTCTATACATTGTAGGTACTTGAAAAACAAGGGCTTCCAAAAAAGTAGGCCATCGCCTTTCTTGAAATTTGATCCCAAAAGGTTGAAGGTCAACATATGCATGACAATCATTTGAAAATAACAATGATTCACACATACATTTCAAATTCTACAATTATTCTTATTTCTTCTACTATTTTTTAAACAAAAAAACTAAAGCCAGGTTTTTAATCACGTACAAGAGGAAGTTACTGAGCAAACTGGCACGCCAGACAAATAGCAACACACAATGGTGCTGGCAAACACCTGTGTCCTTCAGAAAAAGCACAAACACACACACACACAGTTGGTCTTATCATGGAGGTAGAAAAAAGGAAAGGAGGGAGCTCAAACTTTCTGCCTATTGTCCGATGTTGGCCGCGGGCGTCAAAACTGTAATTGGCACGAACTTGTCAATTGCCCTGATTTGCGTAGCCCCCAGAGCGGCACACCAGAGTTTTCCATTGTTATTAATGTCAGTGACAAGACGGCATGCCCGGCATTTGACAACTATAAGTGTAGCAACTTTTATTCTACGGTAAGTTTGTATCAAATTTGAGGATTACTTCGATGAATGCAGGGAGGTAAGAAGCGTGTATCAAAGACGACAAACTTGACGGACGGCACGGCACTGCAACTATTTTCTAGTAACTAGACTTAATTGTTATTTCTAGTATCTTTATACCCCGATACTTGAAACAACAGGAGGTTAAGTATCTTTGGTCAAATCCTTGCTTGAATCCTTGTTTGAGGAACATGCACCGGGCCTACCGGTAACCACAATCAA